ATCAACTTCCATAAATTTAAAATGTAATGATTTTGGTCGAGCACCCCTTTTCCCTTAACTTCTAAATTATTAACAAGGGATTCATTGTTTGCCAGAAAAAAGTCAAGCAGGTTATTACCCCTTGTAGGTTCTGTCCAAAAACTGCTTCAAAAAACAATCCTGAACTACTTCTAAGAAATCGTATGATTCTAAATTCCCAGTCAAAAAATTCCAATCAAACAAAAGGGAAAAGTCTCCTAGAATTACTACTTATCGTCCCTTTGGGGCCCCTAACAATTTCCCCCCTAGTAGTCCCCCCCCTGGTCCCTACTAATTTTGGGGGTGTGGGCAGTGTTTTTAATGTTGTATTGCACCAGTTGCCTCTGTTCTATCAACTGATAATTTAGGACAAAAAATCCCCTATTCTTAAATTGATACCAAGAAACATCCAATAAAGGCCCCAGGTAAATAAGTCATGCGCTGATTTTTTGGGTTTCCCAGGACTTTACACATTGCGTATGTATGATAATCTATTAACTATTTGGTAACCGAATAAACTTACTTAAAAAACCTTAAAAACCATTCTAGAAATCCCCCAAAAGTTGGTTTAAACCAACACAAGGAAATTGGAATGCTTTTCCCATCATGCAGATTGGGGGCAGGAATTTTTTTTAACTGGTAACTCTTGCTCAGAGCTTTCTCTGTCTAGGTCAGAATTTACACTCGTGCATATTCGAGGGAGTTTTTTAAAACGCAGATCTGCGTGGTGACACTGCTTCAGTCGTGTATTAGTTTACAAGCTATGTTTTTGACGTATTTATATTAAAAAAATTCTAGGGGGCTTTTCAAATAAAAAGGGGAAAAAAGTGGTAGGTCCCCCATGCAGACAAGGGTCTTTGGGGCAGTGTGCACAGTATAAAAAAATCCTGACACGCGGCATAGTGAGGAAAAAAACCCCGACGGGTTTTTTTTGGTTTAAAATGCCAACTTTGAGGTGTATTTTTGTATAGTATTTATGGTTGAATTCTCATTTTCATGGCCTCATTTAAAATGGAAACAAAATTACAAAAAATATGTTTTTGACTGATTTCACGATGAAAAGGAAATTGAGCCAAAGTAGCAAAAAAAGTTCATTTTTCCCAAAATTTTCAAGAGTAAACAAATGATGTCTTGTCATAAGTGCCAACTACCTTTCTAATACACATTTACCACGGGGGTTTGGCTTTAAATTATAAAATTTTGCAATAATGCAGCATCTCATAACAAAAACTTCTATTTATCGTTGAAAAAAAATTCAAAATAAAAGCAAGAAAAATTAAGAGAGGCGTGGGAAATGTGACTAATGAACAGAGAAAATGTAATTTTTAGTGCCAGAATTTTGCTTTGTTTTTTTTCTGGATTTTATTTTAAAATTTGGCATCTTTTTTAATTTTCTATAAAATTGGGCCAAATGGCCAATTTCTTACCAAAGACTAATTACGTGTTTTAAATTTATATATATATATTATATTATATAATATTAAAATATAAAAATTTTTTCTTATTTTTATTTTTTTTTAATTTTTACGGAAAAAGGGGGTTACTAGCCCATTTTCCCGCATTTTAGTTGATTTTTTACAAACGGGGCTTACGGAGGAAAGCTTATTCCACTTCCCCATGGATAAAAAGGGAAAAGTAATAAACCAAAAACTATTAAGAAAAATCAAAAAAAACTCGTGATGTGTTAAATAACTTTTTCAGTATGTGCAGTGTGACCTAAATGTAAGTAGAAGTAGCAAGACGTACCTTAATCTTGCATATTTTTGAGAAGACAAAAGACACCAGCAACCTACCATCATGTAAAACAAATTTAAAGGGTTTTGTTTTACACAACTTTGGGGGACGGTAGAAAACCCCCCTGGGGGGTTTCATGAGGGGTTGATAGGATGAATGGAGAGAAAATACTGGGACCTACAAACTGTTGGGGTGTGAGCAGGGGAATATTTGTGAAAGGATTCAGGGAAAACCGTTATTTTTATAATCGGACTTGAGTCCTGGAAAAAGGGAAGTACAAAGCCTGCACTTTAAAGGAGGGGTTTGGGGGTATGGCAGTTTGGGGGATTGTTGTGTACTTTTTTAGTATGCTTTAAACTGTTTTTTTCTGGCACCTCTGCAAAAAAGTGAAAAAGTGTGGTGGGTGAAAGTGTTGAATGAGAAAAGTAAAATTTTTTTTTGGGGTTTTTTTTTCTTTTTTGGGGCCCCCCTGCCTCTGGGGGCGACCGACTTGTGAAAAAAAAAAAAAAAAATATGTATATATATAAAATATATATATTTATAAAAATTATATATATATATATATAATAATATAATAATATAAAAGGTGCTTATGGAGGTTTTTCCCAAAACAGAAGTTTATAAAAAAAGTATATGGAGAGTAAAAAAAAAGGTAAAAAGATGGGGAGAGAGTGCAAAAGGAGAGCAGGATAAGGGGGAGAGGCAAAATGTCAAAAAATTTTAAGAAAAAAAAGAAAAAAATTTTTGGAGTGATTAAACAAGTTAAGAAACCTAGGGAAAATAAGGTTTTGTCTTTTAAAAAAGAGTAGGGGAGTTAGTAGATGGGAGATGGAGGGATTGGGTAGATGGCAGAATATTTTTTAGGAATTTTTTAAAAGTTAAGGAAGAAACAGAGGCGTAATTTTTTTGATGGGGCAGGGGGAACCATCTTTTAGGGTGAAGAAGAGCGAAAGTAAGTGTGGGGGAGGTACTGAGCATTACTAAAATAAAGGGGGTAAAGCAGCTGGAACGATGGGATAGACAAAATGTTTAAAAAACAGGGGGGGATAAGTGTTGGGTGGTTGGTTTTCTTTTGTTTAAAAAATGTAGAAAAGGGGAAGGTACCTGGGATTGGGAAAAAGAGCATGTAAGTCCCCAAAAAAAAGGAAAAGGGGACAAAAAGGGCTGTAAAAATTTTAAGGAAAACTTACGAGTATACCAGGAAAAAATTTCGGTAGGGTTTTTAATTGAAAAAATTAGAGGGGAAGACGAATTGGATTGCGGGACAAAGGGGTTTTAGAGTGGGTAGGGGATGTGTAGATCAGGGGTTTACATGAAGAAATATGTGAACAGTATTTTGATAAAGATAGGGAATTTTTTTTTGCATTTAGGATTTAGAAAGGCAATGATAAGGGAAGAGGACAATGTGGCAAAGTTGCAAATATGGAATAGGTGGTAATTATTAAATGTGAAAAAATTTTTTATGAGGGTAGTGAGGCTCAGGTTAGGGTTGTAGAAAGGGGGGAGACTACTTCCCCGGGAAAGTAGTCTTAACAGGGAGTGTAAGTCACCAGGTTGTTTAATATATTTATAGATGGGGGTTTTAAAGGAAGTAAATGCTAGGGTGTTTGGGGAGGGTGGGGTTAAATTTTGGGGGGAAAAAAATTCAAAATGGGAATTGACACAGTTACTTTTTTCTGATATAACGTCTTTTGGGGGATTTAAAGAAAAATGCAAAGGGTTTGTGGATGGTTTGGGGAAAGTTGTAAAGTAGAAAATTGAAAGTGAACATAGAAAAAAGTAAGGGGATGAGGGGGCAAAAGATTTAGATAAAAAAAAATTTGGGTATCAAATTGGGGGGGGAGGAGTAGGAAGAAGTGAATGTTTTCAGTACTTGGGAGTTTACGTGTCGGCGGATGGGTTTTTGAAGGATGAGGTTTAAACATAGAAAAAAGATGGGGAAAAAAAGGGGGGTGCGTTTAGGTTAGGGATCAAAAAACTTTCTATGGGGGCAAAGAAGGGAATGTATGAAAATATAGTAGTACCAAAACTCTTATAGGGTGTGAACTTGGGTGGTAAATGCAGAGCGAGGGGAAAGGTTTTAGGCCCGCGGATGTCCTGTTTTAAAGGGCAATGTGTGGGGTAAAATTTATGCAGAAAATTCGGAGTGTGGAAATTGGGGGGAAGGTGTGGGGATTAATAAAAGTATTAGTCAGAGGGGAGAAGGGGGTTGTTTTAGGGGTTTTGGTCATTTTGAGAGAATGGGTCACAGTAGAATGACATGGAAAGCAAATTTAAACTATAGGGGGAAGGGAAGGGGGGGTAGGGGTCCCCTCGAAAGGGTTGGAGAGAGGGGTAAAGGGGGTTTTGGGGTAAGGGGTTGGACTTCCCCGCAAGCGTGCGTGAGCGTGTTAGATAGGGGTGAAAGGAGACGAATGGTACTTGGGGCCGACGATCTGTTGGAGTGTGAGCAGGGTAAAAATTTTTGTGAAGGGATTCAGGGAAAAACCGTTATTTTTATATATCGGACTTGAGTCCGGAAATGGGGAAATACAATGCCTGCACTTAAAGGGGGGTTTGGGGAAATTTGGGAGTTGGAGGGTATGTTGGTTCTTTTTATTTTATGCTTCTAGACTGTTTGATTCTGAGCACCTCTGCAAAAACAGTATAAAGTCGAGTGTGGGGAAAGTGTTGAATGATGATGAAAGTATTTTCTTTTGGGGGTTTTTTTTCTTTTTTGGTCACCCTCCTCGGTGGGGGAAAGGGGGATTTTTGAAAAAAAAAAAAAAAAAAAATATATAATAAATTTTTATTATATATATAATTATATAAATAATAAAAAATATTTACTCAAGAAATCGTAAAGACACGTTCAAAACAAAAAATACCCCCACCGGGGTTGAACCCGCAGTCATAAGCCCCCAAAATCCAGCCCGTGGTTTTCCACGTGCGGGCTGAGTTTTTGAGACTCTAGGACGCGGGTTCAATCCCGGGTGGGGGGATGGTTTATATATATATATATATATTTTTAAATATATATATATATATATATATATATATATATATATATATATCTATATATATATATATATATATATACATACATGTATATATATATATATATATATATATATATATATATATATATATATATATATATATATATATATATATATATATATATATATATATATATATAATATATATACATACATACATACACACACGTAATTAGTCTTTGGTAACGAAAATATTCACATTGATATTAATACATTTTGCAGATGGTGTTAAGGACTGGAAGGTGCAGAGTTATTCTACTACAATAAATACACAGTTTCCCTGGTCACGCATCAAAGGTCACCTTAAAAAGAAGGCCACAGTTCGTGTTATCAAAGGTGAGTCAGTGGGTTTCACAAAACTTGAAAATAACTCTAAATTTTAGGTATTATTGTGACAGGTTATTGAGTGCTTATGGTGTTTTCATCACTAATGTACAAATTTTGGGTCTTCACTTAGGCTGTTAATACTTAAATTTTTTCTGTAAACAGTTGGAGATGAGAGCGTCAGTGAGGGTAGAGCGGGAGTAACTCATGTAAATCAACACAGCTTCAACCAGACTTTAGGAGGCCACCCAGAATTATCAGCAACTGAGAAATTATCAAAGTCAGAAGAAAGTTTTCTCGCAAGAAATCTAATTGTACTTAATGAACAAATTTCAAATGAAAAATTTAAAGATTTATTAAAGTCATGCTTTGAGAGCAGCTGGACTAACTGTCCAAACATAAGTGAGGAAGTGAGATGGGACAGAAGCATGACGCATACATATGATCCTAGTTTTATGTTCAGTGATGTTAGCAACAATATGCAAAAATTGGAACAAAAGCCTAGTGTTAAAAATTTTGCCGAGGACCTATTTAAGAGTGATATAGCCATGGAGGAAGAGCTACCTTTAAACTTTGCAAATAGTGACACAACGTGCTTGTCATCTCCTCTCTCAGGTTTTTCTCATGTTGAGACAGCTTCTTTGCCAGAAATTAGTGACCATGAACCTCATAATGTTGCTCAAAAATTGGAACCCAAAAAAGTGTCGCATACGAATGTGAAAAATAAAAAAAATGTGCCTAAAAAAAATAAGAAATCTGCATCAGTACCGCAAAATACACAGTCTATGCCAGTTAAATTAGAAGAAGTGAACGTTGCAGCTTCCAGCACAAAAAAGTCAAAACGAAAAAGATCCTCTACCAATCTGTCTGATAAACATATGTATTTGGAGGATGAAATTTTAAATGTGGAAGAAGACTTGCTGCCAGACCTTGAGGAAAAAAGTGTCGAGGCTCCTTCAACTCTTGCAGGAAAATCAGTGAAAGAATACAAGAAAGTGAAGTTGATGGAGGAAAAGAATAAACATTTGAAAGAAATGAGAAGAAGAGGAAGAGAAGAAAGTTTTAACCAGTCGCTTGCTGCTTATTTATGCATGTGTGTAAGTATCTATGGTGTGCTCTTTGTGTATGCTTATATAGCTCTGTGTATTACTTATGTCACTTCTTAGTCTGTAAAACAAGGATAGTGTACACTTTGTGTGTTTTATGAAAAATAAATTTTGCTTTACCAGTGTTCAAAGGATAGCATTTATAAATGAGGTAATGAAGTTAACCTAAGGTGGGAGACTTTGGCAAGGACACAAGGATATCGTTAACCCTTTCAGGGTTGAGACCTCTGATGCTAAAGGCTTTCTCAGGGTCGAAAAATTGAAAAAAAAAAGAAAATGATTTTATGAAATGATAGAGAATCTTTTCCCAATGGTAATGACACCAAAAGTACGAAATTTGGTGGAAAACTTATGAGATGACACTCTAGCGAAGTTAGCGATATTGGTGATATTTATGCATTGGCGATTTCGCCCACTGAGCCCTATTTTTCCCCAATTCCATTGTTCCAGTCGACTAAATTCATAGCTATTGCGCTAGAACTTCATTTGTTCTATTGATTGAGTACAAGAAACTGCCCATTTACTGATTTCAACTACCCAATAAAGTGGTCAGAAATTGGCAATTTAGTCAATTTCACTCAAATTTCAGAAGATGCCAATTTCAAAATAGGGTCCAGAATAAACAAGACAGACATTCCTGGCACTAAAATAACATTGTCTCTGTTCATTAGTCACATCTGCAGGCCCCTCTTATATTACTCTTGCTTTCTATTTTGAATTTTTATTCTCACAAAAAATAGAAGATTTACCGTTATGCAGACTACTGCATTATTGTAAAAGCAGTATAAATAATATCGGTGCACTTATGAAAGAATATTACTCACCAGTTGACGTGTATTGGATGTGTGGCGTGATTTGTTTAAGCTTGAACATTGGCAAAAATCAAACATTTCTGCTACTTTGAGCTCAATTTCAAGGTCCTTTTCATCATGAAAACTAACACAAACCTGTTAAATGTCCAAGCTCCAGGCATTCAAAACCTCCTTTACCCCTCCAACCTTTCATTGGGCAACCCTTACCCCTCCTTCCCTCCACCCTAGATTTACATGCCCTCCTAGTCATCCTAATCCTGAAATGGTGTACACTTTTTATTATTTATTTTTTTTATCACCAGTCATGACCAGAAAGGAGAAAATACAATCTCCATCATTCGCTTAATCACAGTTCAGATAATCTCTTCCAACTGCAACATCCTCATCCCTCTTCAAGTGCAGGTACTGTACTTCCCGCCTCCAGGACTCGAGTCTGGCAAGTGGTTTCCGCTTGACGTCCTTCATAAATGTTACCTTGCTCCCACTCCTGCAGCATAGTAGTTCTTTTGTCTTCACTCTGGTCTAATGTGCTCAAACAAACCTGTTGTATGATAAACCCTAGTCTACTCAGAACCTGTTGTATGTTAAACCCTAGTCTACTCAGAACCTGTTGTATGTTAAACCCTAGTCTACTCAGAACCTGTTGTATGTTAAACCCTAGTCTACTCAGAACCTGTTGTATGTTAAACCCTAGTCTACTCAGAACCTGTTGTATGTTAAACCCTAGTCTACTCAGAACCTGTTGTATGTTAAACCCTAGTCTACTCAGAACCTGTTTGGTAAAAGGACATGTACAACTAATGTTTAAGTAAGTTTATTTAGGTACAGGTGAACATAAGTATAATTAACATGTGTAAATTACATAAGATAACACAAACAAATCAGTTGAAGTGACTTATTTTCATTGGGGTTCATGTAATATCTTATTATTTAAAGATAGTGGAAATCAGTCATGTTTATAACCTTAAAAATTAAAACAGCTAAATAACTCAACCATGTGAAAATTAGTAACAGTAAAAGGAGGTGCAGTAGGAATAAGTGAACTGACTTATTTACATGAACACTAAGTAGAGAGGATCATCTTAAAATTGTGGGTACAGGAATGTTCATCTATAAAAGAAATCACTCCTCCCTTTCTGTAGATTTATTCATTAGGTATCTTTTAGTGCTCTTCCTGAACTGGCTCGTGCTAGGACAGGCTTTGACATGCTCAGGCAATATGTTCTGCTTCTTTATTGTTGTATAATAAAAAGTGTGTGAAGAGTGACCACTTACTGTAGGTACTACAAAATTGTGTTCATTTCCTCTAGTACCATACTGGTTTTGGTTCCTAACTTTGACAAACTTTACATCAAGATATTCTGGACAAGATATTTTGGACACTGCTTTTGAGCAATTTTATAAACATGTTGGAGTGTGAGCTAGGTATCATTTATGAAAGGATTCGGAAAAACCGGTTAGCTGGATTTGAGTCCTGGAGGTGGGAAGTAAAGTGCCTGCACTCTGAAGGAAGGATGGGGATATTTGTAGCTTGGAGGGGTATCTAAACTGTAGAATTGGTACACCTTTTGCAAAGGTGATAGTGTGAGTGTTGGTGAAAGCATTTCTTCTTTTTCAGGTAACTCTGCCTCAGTGGGAGATGGCCTGTGTGTTAAAAAAGAAAGTTATTTGTTTGTCAGTATCCAAAAGTAGCATCTTTACTACCTTTGATATTTCAAATGTATCTTTGATATACCTTTGAAGAGTTTTGAGTCTTTCTACTTTCGGAGCCCGGCCATGGGCCAGGCTTGTTTGGTGCTTGCCTGGTCAACTAGGCTCTTCTTGCTGGAGGTCCACTGCCCCACATATCCATCATAGCCTGGTTGATCTCCCACTTGGTGAAGATACTTGTCAGGTTTCTCTTGAAGACTTCTACACTTGTTCCAGCCATGTTTCTGATATCTTCTGGTAGGATGTTGAATAGTCTGAGGCCACGATTGTTGACAGTGTTCCCTTATTGTGCCCACCGCACCCCTGCTCCTCACTTGGTTTATTTTGCACTTCCTCCCATATCTCTCACTCCAGCATGTTATGGCACCAGGGACCAGGCCCTCCAGTACTTTCCAGGTATATATTATCATGCATCTCCTCCACTCCTTTGAGGACACGTTCAAGACTTTAAGACCTTCCCAGTACAGTGGACCCCCGGTATTCGATATTGATCCGTTCCTGAGAGCTCATCGAATACTGAAAATATCGAAAAGCGAATCAATTTTCCCCATAAGAAATAATGGAAGTCAAATTAATCCGTGTAAGACACCCAAAAGTATGAAAATAAATATTTTACCACATGAAACATTAAGTTTAATGCAATAGAATAATTACAATAACAACAATAACAATAGAATAATAACAATAGAATAATTGACACTTACCTTTAATGAAGATCTGGTGATGATTGATGGGATGGGAGGAGGGGAGACTGGATGGTTTTAGTGTTTAGAAGGGGAATCCCCTTCCATTAGGACTTGAGGTAGCAAGTCCTTTTCCGGGGTTACTTCCCTTCTTCTTTTAATGCCACTAGGACAAGCTTGAGAGTCACTGGACCTCTGTCGCACAACAAATCTGTCGATAGAGCTCTGTACCTCCCATTCCCTTATGATTTGTCTAAAATGGGCCACAACATTGTCATTGTAATAGTCACCAGCACGGCTTGCAATAGCTGTGTTAGGGTGATTTTCATCCATAAACGTTTGCAGTTCAACCCACTGTGCACACATTTCCTTAATTTTTGAAGTAGGCACAGTGGATTCCACAACTGGCATAGGCTTCTCAGGGTTAGCCCCAAACCCTTCAAAATCTTTCTTAATTTCCATACTAATTCTCACCCTTTTTACCACAAGGTTGGCACTAGAAGCTTTCTTGGGGCCCATGGTGACTTATTTTGCAAAAACAAGCACCAAAAACAGTGATAATATGGAATGTACCAAATGTATCCTTAGATGCGCGCACACTGGCTGGCTTGTAAACACTGGCACACACGGGGCAGTTCAGGCCACACGTGGACACGTCTCGTACGAATCTTATCGAATACTGGGTTTTCAATCGGATACCGAGGCAAAATTTTTGCATTAAAATGCATTGAATGCCTGATTTATCGAATACCGATGCCATCGAATACTGGGGGTCCACTGTAATTTAAATGCTTTACTGGCTCTATGTGGGCCATAAACAATCTTTGTAGTATTTGTTCAAGCTCTGATATTTCTCCTGCTCTGAATTGGGGCCGTCAACACTGAGCATTATTCCAAATGAGGGAGCACTAGTGATTTGAAGAGTGTCACCATTGGCATTATTTCCTTTATCATCTGTAAACACACTCTAAGGTGTCAGATTTATTTCCTTTTGTTTTCTAAATTTTTACCCTCATTGATTTTTTTATTTATTAAATTTTTTATATCTTTTTACATGTGTATCTTAATTTCAGGTTTCTTTGATAAATCTCTAGGCTTGACTGCTTCTCTTTTGTGTTGCTTTTTTTCCTCATTGTTTGGAATGACCTTTTTGATTCCATTTTGTATATTTTTTGTTTACATGTTCGCAGTTTCCCACCAAGGCAGGGTGACCCAAAAAGAAAGAAAAAAAAGCCCAAAAATGAAAGAAAATGCTTTTATCATCATTCATACATATTAACTGTCTTTGCAGATATGACAGTTTAGATGTCACTCCAGCCAATATCACAAACCCCTCCATTAAAGTGCGGGCATTGTGTGTGTGTGTGTGTGTGTGTGTGTGTTGTGTGTGTGTGTGTGTGTGTGTGTGTGTGTGTGTGTGTGTGTATTATTTATATACAGTAGGGCCCCACTTTACGGCGTTTCACCTTACGGCATTCTGCTAATACAGCGATTTCAAATTATGACCAAAACTACGTATATGGCAACCCGTCTTTCTAATACAGTGCACCCCACAAGGTTTGTTTACATTCTCCGTGAGCACATCTGCATAATGTCTATAAACTTTCCAAAATTTCAAATGTTTTAAAGTTATTGCATATTTTATATGTACTGTGATAATTATATTTATGTGTACCTGTACCTGAATATACTTGTTCAAGAAAGGTATAAAATACCGACAATATGAAAGTTAAGACACATGTGCAACATCTGGATATCTTTATTGTAGACGTTTCGCCATCCAGTG